TTCCTGTAGGCACAGGGTCATCAGCTGTCGGTATCGTAATTGGTGATTTAGTATACTGGGCTTGAAAATTCATTACACAGTGATATGAACAAAAATTCCGTATCGTTGCATCTGACATCGTTAAATGATACTGAGCTTGGGAAAATTCTTTACAAAAGTCACAATTTATACGTTTTGCTGAAACTGCATTGATAGAAACCTACATAAAATTAAAGAATATAAATAAAATCAATTTTATATTTAACACTGATTGATTTTATGATAACTTCATACCTGATATAGTGTTAAGCAATTTAAACTGCACATCATCATCACTTGACCTGTTTTTAGTTCCTTTTTGATCATATCAAAATTATATTTTTTTACTTTGCACCAATTACAAGGAACAATTTTCCTATTCGTAATAATAAATATATTTAAGCAAGTTTTAGAACAAAACATATGAGCTTCATTTTCATAAAACACAACAGAATTTTTTTTGTTAGGTAATTCAAAAAATTTTTTGCAAGTGGAACATTGATCAGGATCAACCTTTTTTACAAATTTAAATGCTGCAAAACATGGTTCACTGCATATAGATACTGGATCAGATCTATCTATTTGAACCTCACAATGTACAATTTTGTCCTGTTGTAAAGAATATAACTTTAATTTAGAAAGTTTCTATCAAATTTATATGAAACATGCAAGTATGAAATGAAATGATTTCTTACTTCTTGACAAACACTGCAACATTTTTTTTCCATGTTTGGAGGTTCAACAGAACTCATTTTTGAATACTTTTCCATGCAATCTTGAGTACAGAAATCCTTAAACTGTCCTTTATCACCAACTGGTGCAAGAAAACCTTCTGTACTAGAACTTATATCTTTTTGACAATAGCTGCATACTTTTAGACCTTTTTTAAATTCTTCCAAACATGTGGAGCAACAAAACTGTCTAACATCATAACCAAATCGTACACAATACTTCCCTAAACTTACTGCCTGAACAGAACCATTGCAATTTCTACAATAACTTCCATATTTTGTTTGAAATTTGCCTAGACATTCCTCATTACAAAACTCCATTGTTTCCCAAGAAAGATTACGTTCATCATTAGGTTCAACAATTAATAAACAGTTTGCACAACGTTTCTCTCTTTTAGAATTAACTCCATCACTGGGTATATCCATAGCTCTATTATTAGCAATCTTAAATAATGCTTTACAAGTTTTTGAACACACATTATAAATATCAAAACCAATTTTTACTTTAATTTTACATGACCTTTCTTCATTACATTGTTTACAAATCTCTTTAGCTGTGATTTCTTCAATTTCAGAATTCTTTGATTCTTCATCAATGTTGATAATGTCGGTAGTGGCAGCTGTAACTTTATTAGTTAAATCTTTCTCCGTTCTGCTATTTTTTGTATGTGTTACAACGCATTCATTTACAATATTTGGTTCCTTTAAATCCTGTTGCAAGTTTTTATTCGTATCATTATTTAATTCACTATTTTCACATGTTTGTTTAATTTCCATGTGTTCATTACTATCTTCATGTAAAGGTTCTTTATCACTAGAATTTGATTTTTCAGTTTGCTCAGGAATTATTACTTTCATGCTATCTGGAATAATACATAACTCATCATCTTGTCCTGGTAAAACATTAGATTGATCTTCTTCAGTATCCATTGGTGTTATCCCACTGACAGATTTCTTTGTTTGATCATCACATTTCTTAGTTGAACTTCCATTTTCTGTATTTGAATTTTCATTGTGTTCCATTTGAACTGAATTTTCATTACTATCTTTACCAGCACTTTCTATTACATTTTGAGAATGTAAAATATCAATAGAATTGTTTTTATTTCCTCCATTATCATTTTTTTTATTGATACTAAAACTGTTTTCTTCATTATTTACAATATCTTGTAAATTATCAGTTGGGTTACACAATTTAGAAAAACCTATGCTAGTTTCATGAATTTCATCAGTATCCATGGACTCAACATTTTCTGTAATAAGACTATCTCCACCAAAAGGATCTTCAGCATCTATAGATTGATTTTCCATCTGTGCATCTCCATGTTTCTCTTGAGAAAACTGTACAAATTCTGTATTTTCTGGTTCTACAATGTTTTTCTCTGTTACATCTCTATCACAATCTTCCAATGTTCCCTTTGAATCACTTTTTTTGTTATCAGAATTATTTTTCTCATTAATTTGAGATTGCTTACTTGTTTGAGAATCTTCCAAAACATTGTCACCATTTTTTTTCTCTGTTAAATTCAAATCACACGAATCATCTACACTGACACTTCCTAAATTTTCTGTTTCCTCTGACATGTACCCTAAACGTTTTTCAGATTCTGCACATTCTAGTACATTTGCACTATCTGATAATTTGTTAGCAGTATTAGATATCATTAATAATATTCCTGAATTATTTTCTTGTGACATATCTTTTGTAGTATTTTCATGTAAAGTCGATGGTTGAAGAACATCATTGTAATCTGTAAACATAATATTTGTGTCATTTTTTTGTAGAGTTAATTTATTCACTTGTAAGTTACCTTCTTCAGAAATAATTTCTTGACATGATTCAGTAATTGATAAATCAGTACTTTCTAAATTTTCATTGGATAATTTTTTATATCTTTCATCTTCTTTATTTATTTTCTCATTATTTTCGCTTATATCAGTAACTTTTTTATCTTTTTTTGTAGTTAATGATCCTTGTATTTCATCTGCATTAGTATCGTTTTTATTCTGTTCAATTATAGCTTCAGTTTTATTTTCATTCTCAATGTATGAATCCTTTTGATTCTGACTAGTTGATAATTCCATATCAATATTAGGATCCATGTTCATTTATATGTCCAACTATATAAAGTAATAATTTTACATGAATAAAAAATATATGAAGGCATATTTTATTAAACCTAATTATTATTATGTGTCAAAATTAATTAATTACTTAAAGTTTATTATATTCTTATAAAATGATATTTAAAATATAAAATAAATTTTTAGAGAAAG